AAAAAAAACGAATGAATTCGAGTAATTTTCATTCGACGAATGAAGAATTGGAGCGTTTCGATGTTCTGGAACGCATGCAAGCTTCACAACACTTTGATACGAGATCTCGTTCAGAACGGGGTCAATTCTAGCGCTAAGGTTAATGCTTGAAGAGTTGGAGGTGCTTTCACACAAAAACAACTTAATTAATTCGTCATGCAGGAATAACATTTCGATGAGACAACAATGTCAAAGATATTTTTAGTCGCTTGTACGATCAAAATTGCATTTTTACAGTGAATAATACAAACCGTAATATGAATGAATAGTGGAATAACTTGTTCAGAATCGTATTCCCTATTGACTCGTGTATGAACGATAAACGAAACGACAACGATAGAATATGTTCGTTATGACTAGTGGTGATTGAGTGTGAGATAATCGCGACTTTTTGCATCGTGCAATGAGGTGTGTTCATTGACCGGTGTGCACGGTCCTAAGAATCCATTGGTGGTGATCATTCTTTCGCCACTACCGTCCGCATCCTTCGTCTTCTGCATCGCCAGTGTTTCACAACTAACGTTGAAACTTGTGTCGCTCGGAAGCGCTATTCGTTCTGGAGGAATGTTCACTACGCACGTTAAGAAGTCCATTTCCACTGATAATTTGCCTGAAATGAACAATTTTTCCAGTTGATTCCATTTTGATCACTATTCTTAATAGTTTAATTGAGTGACGCACGCCATTCAGTCGATTCAAGATCATTCGATCTTATAAATTATTGTTGATATCCGGCAGCGTTCATTAAAGTATATGAACGACAATGAGATTTTCTTCGCGTCTTCATAATTTTGATTTTAAAAATTGCATCCTTTTTTGCTTAGTCGCTCGTCACATCGCAATTCTGTTTCTCGGAACTCATAGTTGTGTCTTCAAATTCACCGAATGAATAGATGTACCTGATTTGAAGAGATGTTCGGTGAGCAACGAAACACCGACGCAAGCGATGAACGAAGAAAACATAGCCATCGTTCGGAATGGGAAATATTGTGTACCGGATACGGTACCGTCAGGAAGTGTGTATTCTTCGTACATCGGGAAATGAATCAACGCTGGAAACGACAGTAGCGGCTCACCACCTGACAATCGGAGAACAAGACCCGCTGAAATGATGAATTTCTATGAGTGAACTTTTATGTGTAGCAAATTTTTATTCGCTTGAAATTAGTTTTTTCTAACAGATGCATGCAAGATAGCGTTTTGTCTAATATCTCAAAATGTTGCCCAGAACTCGCTGATAGTCAGTCACTGAAGTCAGCTGAAAGCATCGAAGAAAGTTGCAAATTCATTTTGACTGTGTGTTTTCGTTAAAATTGCTGCTCACAGCAACAGCAAACGTTTCGTTGGAATGCAACTGAAAATTACCGATATAACCAGCAATTGAACCGTATGTGTTTGATCGTTCCA